TTGCAGGTAGGCACCACTAGCCTGACTTCACCATCTACCTCCCAAAGTAAAGACCAGTCCAAAAGATCGATCACATTTACATGTGTTAATATGTTGATACATTGATGAAATTGCAGAATAAGGTAAAATCATTAAGTGTGCTGTTATACAGAACTGTGTGAGAGGGCAGTGGGGATCGGTGTTGAAGAGGGCCACTGCATTAGAGATTCAACTATGAGAACCATCCCAAGTCCTTCTCACATTCACGGCCACCCCAGACACCGGCAGCTGGGCGCTTCAAGACAGATACACAAAAGTGGTGAAAAAAGGGTGTTTCCAGGGCTCATCCTTGTTTGATTAATTTTTTTAATCGAGCAAAGTGGCATTTTATTTCAGGACTCCTCTGTTGTTTACCTGTCTACTAGCCGAGAGTTTGCCTTGACCGTAGACAACGCTCTTTCACTGGAGGAGGAAAAACTGCATTATTGATGATACTGCAAAGCAGTATTTGAAGACAGAGAAAGAGGGTCATAATTAATGGTGTGATACACAGAAAGCAGCTTGCAAACAGGCTAGGCAGTGCAATTTTTGTCTTCGAATTAGTGTGCACGCATGCACACAGGCGGGCATCTGAAGGATGATAGAAGCACATTCTCCAAACTGTTAATAGAACTTACCTCACTGTTGGACTGTCAACTGGTATTTATGTGCAGACTTTACACACACTTAAGTTTTTAAAATTTAAGCATTTTTCTTGGCATGTTTGCAAAAAGTTTTCTTTTTATAACAAGAATAAAGAATAGAATTTTACAGTGAGAAAAAGGTTCTCATTAAGAGAGACAGAGAGAGGGCAACAAACCATTATATTTTTCCAGGTCTATTCCACTGGGTATGGTAGTGTGTGCCTAGGATGCCAGCACCTGTGAAGGGTGAGGCTAAGGCAGATCACAAATTCAAGGTTAACCTGAGCTCAAAGATCACAAAATAACAGTCCTATTCTAAAATTTCCTAACTTTTGGGTTGACATCTTATTCTTAATAGTCTCCCAAACAACTCATTTCCCAGGTTACTATTTCTCCTTTGTCAAACCCCACCCTTCCACAGTGACTATGGTTTCTAACTCTTCTTCTCCATTGGCAAAAACCTCAGATGAACTCAGGAGCTCTGTATCCAGATGGCAGAGAGGACTGCCCTGTACTCTGCAGGCTGGCATGGGAACAGTCCATTTTTTTTTTTTTTTTTTTGGACTGTTAAGAGGAAATGCCATAAAGTAAGTTTACTCTTTACTCATAAAATCCATCAGAGCTCCAGGGGGCAGGAAGTCTTCTACAGAGATGCAAATGCGGAGCTAGCCCAACCACCAACCACAAAGCAGAGGAAGTGCAGTAATGTGTTCAGGCTGCTGGTCTCCATGGAGACACCACTGAGTAAGGCTCAAGTTCTATCACTATTTGTCAGCTAAATCACTGGTTACTTATTGCTACAGAAGTCGGGGCAAAGTCATGGATACAGATACAGCTTGTTCTGGCTTCAGAGGCGGCCATATGTACTTTAATACATTTCTGGGGGCACAGTGTGATGAGGGATACCACAAAATGAGAGTAAGAAACCAGAGGGTAAGAGGCACGCTTGCTTGCTTAGAAGGCTGAAAGACCGAACTGTCTGTCTGGACAGACCAAGCGGCTCTCTGCCATCACTCTGGCCTGCAGTGACAGCTTGTTGTCACCCTTCACACCCTTCCAACCCTGCAGGTTATAGACTCTCGGGTGAAGATGAGGCCAGACTCCTTACAGGGGACTTTAAAAAACATACATTTACTTTTAGTAAGGAGGACCTCCATCTGTTCCATCTAGTTTATATGTACAGTCCCACAACTTAAACACCAGACACAGAATCACTAAGACGAAAAGGATATGCCGGAGCTGACCGGCTTGAGACAGACCCAACTCCTCAGCTCTGTGACTCACAGGAAGACGGCTTAGTGCATATGTTTTGGTCTTAGAAATAGAAAATAATGTCTTTGAGTTGGAACTGGCTTGACAAATCTTTTTACACCCCACTGAGGCTTTAAATCTCATAAAGGGCAATGGCCGGGTTGTCAGTGAAGAAATTACTTCTGGCAAAACTATACTGTCATGCACTGAAGTTGTGTGTCTTAGGATTTTGCTTAAACTTGGTGTGTGTGTGTGTGTGTGTGTGTGTGTGTGTGTGTGTGTGTGTGTGTGTGTGTAAGAAAGAGAGGGAGGGGAAGGAGAGGGAGAGAGGGAGAGGGAGAGAGATAACTTCACCTGAGTAGTACAGTAGCTACAGAAGTTAAGGATTAAAGGCTTAAAAAGAAACAAGGAAGCATACATTCCCTAAGGACTTTCCAATACATTATCTCACTCAAGGGTTAGGAATAATCTCTGAGCCGGGCATTATTATTTCTACTCTATGGAGATGGATAATAACACCTTTATTTGTGCTACGTTATAATCAGGGTAGACCCAGGTGCTGCACAGGAAGAGAGGAAGAATGGTCAGGGCTATTACCCAACGGTGTGTTTCAGTGTTTCTGAGGAACATCCCCATCTACAATGAGTCAGCATGAGAACTTTCTGGAACTACCAGGGGGAAGTAGACATGCCAGTGCAGACAACCCCCAAGACTCGGCAGCAATCTTTCGGTGTTACCTCTCACTCAAGCAACCCAACACGGCAGGAACCCCCTCCAGATGTATACAGATAAGCCCACAGAACCCTGAAACTCAGAGCGCAGTGGTTCTGAAGATCCCAGAGTTGGATGGTGACAAAGTGGACCTGGGCCCAGGATTTCTCACTTCCAGCCTTCTGCTTGTTCCGATGTCCCTGCCTAACTGCAGATGGTGTGGAGAGACACTGCAGTGGCAGCCACAGGGACAGCCAGCCGCAAATGCAGGGCCGATGAAAAAAGTGTCTTATGTAAATGACCTCAGTGATTCCTCAGTACAAGGCAGAAGAGGGAACCGGCTGTAACCAAACTATCAACAGGTTTCAGGAAAGTTCCAGTGATTGTGAACTATAGCAACTATACCTATCACTATTGCAGTCAATTCCATAAACTGTAGTGGCTTCATAGAAATAGATTCAATAGAAATGTGGCACACAGTTAATCTGAATTTTCCTGCCTCTCTATGCTAATTCTTAAGTTTCTCAGAAGAGTGAAAAACCTTATTAAGATAGGATAAATCTGTTTTTAAGACACAAATATGCATTAAGGGGAGGAGGGAACCTCACTACCCAGGCACAAGTAAAATATAGTAAAACAAGCTAGTTCTTTAAGTAATGAAAGTCACAGCCATCCAGTTTAGAGTACCAAATATACATACTAATTAAGTCTGGGCTGCAGAATTCCCAGGCACAGTTTGGGATATGCATAGGTAGGTAAGGTGCTTAGGCAAGCCCCTGGGTTGTATCCATTTAACCTCATACATGCCTTTCGGCACGTGCGCTACCTGCCAGCCTTGTACATTTATCGCTAGAGGCAGTAAAGCCATGTTTTTCCACCTTCAAGAGATGGATGACCGTGTTGAGAGTCGGCTGCAGGGTATTCACAAAGAACAACAACACAGACAGTATATGCTAGAGAGGTTGAGTATATTCACAAGACTGAATCCTCTTCACCCACAGCTGAGTTGCTAGGAAGTCATTCTCAACAGTTACCAACAAAACCTTAACACTAGAGTTTTGTGCTGGTTAGTGTAGATCAACTTGACCCAAGCTAGCATCATTTTAGAAGTCAACTGAGGAAATGCCCTGACCACATTGCCTATGGGCAAGACTATGGTACATTTTTTATTGATGATTGATATGGAGGGCCTGGTCCACTGTGGGTGGTGCCACCCCTGGGTTGGTGGTCTTGGGTGCTATAAGAAAGCAGGATGAACAAGCCATGGGAAGCAAGTCAGTAAGCAGCACCCCTCCATGGACTCCGCATCAGCTCCTGCCTTGAGTTTCTGCCCTGGATTCCCTTGGGTGATGGACTATAAGTTGTAAGATGAAATAAATCCTTTCCTCCCCAATTTGCTTTTGGTCATGATGGTTTTGTTGTTGCTTGTCTTTTTTTATCCATTTTCAAGCATTTTTTTTTTAGATTATAATATAATCACATCATGGCACCCCCTTCATTCTTTTCCCCTCCAAATGCCCCATGTCCTCTTCTTCGCTCTCTTTCAAATTTATGGCCTCTTTGCCTTTACCTGTGTGTATGTGTGTGTGTGTGTGTGTGTGTGTGTGTGTGTGTGTGTGTGTGTGTACACGTATTCCTAAAAACATGAATACAACTTTTTCAGTCTATATAATGTTACTTGTACGTATGTTTTCATGGCTGACCATTTGGTACTGGATAATCAGTTGGTGTGCTCTTCCTCGGGGAAGACAATTTCTTCCACTCTCAGAATTCCTTAGCTGCCTATAGTTCTTTGTCTAGGGTTGTGGCCTCCTGAAATTTCCTCCATCCATGTTAGAATGTCTATTGGTGTACAGAAGTACTGTATTCCAAGTCCTAAAAGACCATGATAGCCAACTAAAACTAATATACCTAGCAAAACTGCCTGTCATCGTTGAAGGAGAAAGAAAAACTTTCCACAATAAAAATAGCCTAAAAAATTGTATATCCAAAAAAAACCAAACTTAAAGAAAATAAAGCTAGTGGTTATGGTGTTTCATCACAGCAATAGAAACCCTAACTAAGACACGTTTCTCCTGACTTGGAGTCAAGCCACAAGTATGATGACAGATGTTGTGTTTTGAACTTTGATACACAGATGAATGTATTTTACACATGACCAAACAGGGTACCTTGTCTCTCCCCACTCTGTTAAAGAAGGTAATCGGAGAGAATTTCATCTTTCAAACTTTCCAGTTTTCTAGTCTTCACATAAAACAGTGATTGATCCATAAACAGATATATTCATTCATATACATAAGACTACTATAAAATATAAAGTAAACTGAGGTTTCCCTGCACTGTGTTGGGAGTAAAGGATGTTATTTTCTACTTTACCTGGGAAGAGCGGTGATTTTTCCCCATTTCTCCACACAGAACCTTCTTGGGCCATTACTCCCTCGGAGAGAAGCAAATCCTTCATAGGGAATGCTGGATGTGCCGGTAACGAACTATCAACCACAGAAACAGAAGGCAAGGTGAAGCCAGAGACCTCATCCAGGACAGGAACTTCATTACTGCTGGGTAGCACTCCCAAGACGGGGCACAAGTAGGGGACTTCAGGAGTCACCGTTTCATCGACATGGGACAACTAAAACAGATTCTGACAACCACTCAGCCACCCGAGAAAGGGAATTAGATGGGGAAATGAGAAGTAAAGCATTCACAGAAAATAAAGCATTCTGTGCAGCTGACCTGCTCAGATGCTTCAACCAGGCATATTACCTGTGACAGATGAACGAAATGGGTCTATTCATTAACCTAAACCCACTGAGCAACAGCCCGCCATCAATCTGGCATCAATTTTAGGAATTCTGTGGTCTGCAAATCTGAGTTCCAGATCCTTAATCCAAAAGCACTAAGTCCAAGCCGACAGGTAAGGCCCTGCCTCAGCATCCAAGGGGCTTCCTCCTGTCTAATAATTCAGTGTCACCTTACCAGCATCACCCCAGATGGAGAGCTTTTATAAATGTCACAAAACACAGCGACTTCTTCTCTAAAATGTCCTTGGTTCTACAAAGTATGGCAAGTCAAATGAAGGAAAAGGAGCATTTTAACTAACAGGGTCCTTTCTTACAGACCGAACATCTCTTTTTCTGATACGGATGCCCAATGAAGGAGGCCCCTGGCGGCCACTACAAGGACCCAGCTGTCCTGAGGGAATATGCCATTCCCGGGTGTTTTCAGACTAGCACTGGCACTTCCCCACAACCCTCAAGAAGTGCTCTGACTCCGCTGGTGATGGAGTATGTGGACATGCAGTCAGAAGGGTATGGAGATATCATAGCCCGATAGACAAGGTTGGCATTTATGAAGACTATTTAGCAATTACACACACACACACACACACACACACACACACACACACACTTCCAACAATACAGTACTGTGTTACACACCGAGGCGCTAATGGCATCTTACCTGCAACAACCTGAGTCGCTGTTCATTGTTGAATCGCTCCACAGCAGCCCAGAACCACCGAATTACGATGTGATTGTCATGGTACCCTACAAACCACCACGGAAGCTCACGTTACTCGGACTCTTCTATCTTCAACTACCAAGAAATAAAATTAAAAAAAAAAACCACCAAACCACCACTCTATGCACAGATGGACATCTTTAATGTCGTTTATAATTTGAGATGAAGGAACGACACTGTAAACATGACTGTACGGGTATCAAAAGTTAAACAAGACAGCACGGGTGAGACCATAGCTCTGTTCTCTTTCAGCAGTGAAAAGAACCACCAAGGAGTTACTTTTTAGCTCCATCGTTTCTGAAAACTACAACTGTTACGATGAGAAATGCTTAACTCTTTTGGTTAGTTCCATAGGAAACAATTTCGCCCAGCACTATACTAAGCTCGGGGGTCTGATGACAAAGAAAACAGACCCTCGCAGGACTTTCTGATGACAGACACCTTAGTCACACAATTTATACAAAGAAAGAAGAATGGAAGCTTTTTTTTTGTTGTTGTTGTTTTGTTTTTGTTTTTCAAGACAGGGTTTCTCTGTGTAGCTTTGGAACCTTTCCTGGATCTTGCTCTGTAGCCCAGGCTGGCCTCGAACTCACAAAGATCCGCCTGCCTCTGCCTCCTGAGTGCTGGGATTAAAGGCGTGCGCCGCCACCACCGCCTGGCTGGAAGCGTTTTTGAAGCTGCCCATATCGACCCCAAGCGCTTCCCTAAAAGCTATATGTACTATTCATAATTCATAATACAACCAAGTTATGGAGACTGGGCACATAGCTCAATGGCAAAGCACTTGCCTAGCAAGGGCAAGGCCGTGGGTTCAGTCCCCAGTAACAGAAAAAGAATTAAAACAGAAATAAAACCAAATTATTTTCACACTACTTATTAATAAATAGGAAAGAGACCTTTAATTTTTTCAACTAATTATCACAGTTTTACTTTTACTCCATACATTAGAAGAATTAATGAAATGTCAAAATTATCTCACATTTTTGTAAGATAAATGTCAGTATTATCTCACATAAAATGCCAATATTATCTCAAAGGTCTGGGTTAAAGCAGGGGTTATGGGCTTTCTAACTTCTCAGCAAAAGACAGTTAAGCTCAAAGAGAAGGCTGACAGGAATTCATAAGCAATCAATGATTCAAATCAATTGATAGTCATATTTTATGAAAACTACTTTATTTAATCCTGTGCTGTACTCCCAAATTGAAAGTGAGTGGAAATTAATCTGAATGTATCCTCACGGCCCCGTAATTGTCAAATTGACCAGGAAATCTCCTTTATTGCCTGCCATTTCATCGAGAGTACCTACACCCCTTAAAGAAGAAGGAGTCTGAGTGAAGGGTAAACAGCATTAGATCGGGCATGGCGTCCAGGTCTAATCTTTGTAAAGATTGGTTAGTGAGCCAAAGATCGGTGCATTAGCTGTCTGGGGCACTGAAGTTTCCGGCCCTTCTGAACTAGCCCTTTGCTGCTTCGCCTTTACTGTTTGTGCTAAGCGTGTTTTGAAAGAAGAATGGCTGCCCCATCCTGTCATCCACAGACAGCTGCTGGGGGAACAGATGGCAGGCGACAGCCTAACTTCTTTTTCCTGCGGTGCCAACTGGCCGCACTGGCAAAGAGGGCAACTTAGGCTCTCGTCCTTTATCCGGTCTCTTCTAAGGTCTCCTTCGGAAAGATTTACCACTAAAACAGGCCCTTGATTTACTCACGTATAGTGAGCAAAAACCTTAGACTGTGTAAATACAAAAGTGAGTAATCCCATGACTGCCTTGCTATTAGAATCCCCTGGAGTACGGGACAAGGGAATAATATTTACCACAAAATTTAAGTTAAGTGCCGTATCAGAGAAATTACATTATAATTAGTAAAAAATATTTCGGCTAATAAAGCTATCTATAATAACCAACATCATACATGGATGCTACATGTGTCCAGCCAGAGAAGATTTACTGCACAGTTTGACTTAGAAATAGCAATGATGGAAACCTCACTTTAACACGGCCTTTCAGAGAAAACGCTAACACTACAACATGTCCCAGAAAATGCATACTTCTTTGCTTAAAATTATTCGACAAAACTCTGGGCTGTTCTTAGGTTTCAGCTTTTTAATAAGAAACAAACCCAATCATGTTGGTCCAAATGACTAACTAAAACTGTGTACTGATCTACAAAGAGCCACTTCCAAAGAGTCCCACTCAAAATGAGTTTACAATGGTTCCCTTTTCAGCCAAACTCGATGTTCCAGTTGAGAAGGGCCTTGCAGATGGACATGCTGAATTTTGAGAACCCTATCTTCTTCCTGTTGGTGTTTTAACTGTGACATAACTGAGAGAGAGCTCAAGGAACTGTAGCCGACCTGGGAGGGTTAGGCAGCTGAAAGGGTGTGGTATCTGGAGGTGTAGAATGTAGATCAGTCAGGTGGGGTTTGACCAGCTGGATATAAGCTCCCCATGCCTCACCAACAACGTCATCCAATACTTAATTGGTGTTCTCAGGATCACATTTCTTCACCAGCAATTAGGAGTTATGACATCCTCCAATGGGGTGTAAACAGGCCTTCCCCTTTTTGACTAATGAAGTCACTAGGTACGGAAGGGACTGACCTTGCCCAAGGTCTCAAGGAAAACAGCGGCAGACCAGTGATTAAAACAAGTGCCTTTGTCTGCTCCGTGCTCAGCCCCGTGCTCGAAGCAGGCACCCCGGTAACTTACATCTAGACATTTATAAACCCAGCCTCACCGCCTCTGTACTCGGTGTTGTTCCTCCAGTCATTGAGGTCTATTTCAGCTGTGCCCGCAATGACCAGCTCCAGTTCCCGTGCGTCGAAGACAGACACGAGCCTGGCATCGACCACCTGTGGAGGAGAGGGAGCACGGGCTTAGGAGCCTAGAGAAATGCCAGCCACAAGGAAGCCTCATCAGAAACGCAGGACACGGGGAATTTCAAGAGCACTGTGGTTATGCTTGTCGCTAGTATGTAAATCTTGTCGTAGTTTCTACGGATGGAAGAAGGTATGTTTCTAGTTGAAAGCTGGTAGGCTGAGCCTCTAGAAGTTTCGTGTTGGTTGATCACCATATCCCACTGAACATGCTAGGTCTCCTGTGGTCTCAGAAGCTAAGCAAGGCAGGGTCTGGTGAGTACTAGAATAGGAGGGTCTTGCTTCACAACTGACTATCCATTAATCCAGTTGTTCGTTGTTTTTTCTTTTGAAAAAGATCCAGTGATCTTACAGAGAAAGTGACATGGAATATATGCGATCAGTTCTGGCCTGTACACACAATCGTTGCACATACCAAGTAGGAGATTTGATTATGCAGACCTGAGTGTGAGTAAGAATCATAACTTCCATGTTATCAGTAGTCATTAAACCATTAAAATGGTACACCTAGAAATCAGTATACCACTCATTTCGGTGGTCTCTAATAGCATGCACAGGAAGCTTTCACATGTGTGCAGCTTTGGAGATACATGGGAATAGATTTGAAAGTTTGAGTTAAAAGAGCAAGAGTAGACACAGCGAGAGAGAAGAGGAAAATGTTCTATACTCGAAGCCCGGCAGAGCAGCCCGGCAGAGCAGCCCGGCAGCCCAGCTATGGACTGCAGACATCTGCCATGACGCCTTACCTCATAGAAACCGCGGACTAGGCTCTCGGTCTGCTGCACCACACCCCTCTCGATCCTCCACTTCACCATCCTCTCTATGTACTCCTTCTTGTTCTTCTCTGTGACCGGAATATTGGCTCCCCCTGGTTTTAACTCTCGTTCGGTGATCTGCCATTAAAAAGCAAAGGAGCAGGTCAGCAAACAATACACTTGAGCTGGGGTCAGGCGTCTGGCCCTTCTCTGCCTCAGAAGCATCCCACGGCAGCAAGAAGCATCTAAGACAGCAGTTCTCAACCTTCCGGATGCTGTGACCCTTTAATATAGTTCTTCTTGTTGTGCTGACCCCAACCATAAAATGATTTCATTGCTACTTCACAACTGTAATTTTGCAACTGTTATGAATTATAATGTAAATGTCAGACATGCAGATGGTCTTAGGCGACCCCCCCCCTCCCCCCCGTGAAGGATTGTTCAATCCCCAAAAGGTCACAACCCACAGAGGTTGAGAACCGCTGATCTAAGATTTAGAATCAACTACACCTACTGAGCCAGTATAAAAGATATACTTAAGGAAAATAGAAACACACCTTAGTAAATCTTAAATTGAGAGCTCATTTTTCAAAGCCCGTAAACTGCAGGAAACTCAGACGAATCCCAATGCCTAGTGAGAACTAATACACAGCCCCTGACCGAAATTTTTTAATCTTCCCTTCCATCAAATTTAAAATAAAACCAGTATGGTCTCTGCTTTCACACATTCTCCAAAATATTCTCTCTGTTTCAAAGCAACCAATTACAGTTTTTAAATCTAAATGGATCTTAATTTTATATTACAATTAAATAATTTAATATTCAACTCAGGGATAGCGGAGACTATCCATATGAATTCTGTATAAGATACATTTTCATATCTCTAGATATCTCTAGATATGCTCATTTCTCATATCCATTTGAGTTGGAAATAAAAAGATTATTTATAATAAATAAATGCTTCTCACAATCTATAAATGAGGACAACTTAAACTATAGTTGGCATTAGAGTAATCTCTGTACTCAAGCTTACTACAATTTAGTAGTCCTGGGTTCAATCATGTAATAAGCCACAAACAGACTAGCGTTTTATCTTAGTCATAGAGTTAACTTTTCACCAGCCGACAGCCTTCAGTTAGCAGGGAACAGACCTGTCCAAAAACTTCTTCGTTCACAGTGAACGTGAGGTCTAGGATGTCGTGGATGTCATTGTCTTTCATCCACTGAAGGCTTTGGTGGAACTCCTCATCAAGGTACTCTAGATCGCTCAGGTCACACAGGCTAGGATGGCAAACAGAAGCAAACATACAGACCTCGTTATCAGCAAACAACTCCAGAATCACGAGGAAGGAACAAGACCCATTCCACAGGCTGTGGTACTTGGAATATTCACGAGTTCGGCAATTACACTACTGAAGTAAGACAGAATTATGGCATAATTTTAAAATCCTGGGTACGTAAAATGCCACAGGAACCACGTACCCATCTTTTCTCTCAAAAATAGAACCCGGAGGTACAAAGAATGGCTGCCATATACATGGTCATCCACAACCAGTGCCAGATCTGGACCTGGAACAGGCTGAAAACTTGCACCAAAATTCTCTTTCGCTATCTTATCCTATCAAAATTTACTGTACTTCCAATTTGAAATTTTTTATTGATTTCTCTACCACCTTTTACCTTTTCCACTTGTCTTTTTAAAGAGACTGGATGCTGTAGCTGATGTCCATCCATTTCTCCCTTTCTCATGGTTTTTACTCTACCACTATAAAAATAGCCAAAGAATTCTTCTATGACCACAAAACTTTCCTATACTTCACTCCACTGATGGTGTTTTCTCTTTGCAGTGACAAGAGCCACTTGAGCTAGAGTTATTCTTATATGCCCTGGTGTAAGGTGTCAGTAATTAATTTGTTTTGAAATGTCTTGCCTTTTAGCTCAATGTCAAGGGTTGTCTCATTTGGTTTATTTTAGGTATTTATTAGGTATCGAATGTATGCCACACGTATTAATAACTGCTTGGTGAACTTGTTGCTCTGGGAAGGAAGTGGTCTTGTTGGGGAGACCGGCACACCGTAGATAAGCTCCCATAAAGTGTGAGCTGACAGCAGAGTAGGCAGTGTGCTAACACTCATGCACAGCTGAAAATGCATGCTGCTTCATTAATAATAAAACAAGACTGGACATGGCGATCCAGACCACAGCTCCAACCCTAGGAAGGCTTGGGTAAGGGCTGCAAGTCTGAGCCCTGCCTGGGCTGGAGAGTAAAACTCTGTCTCAAAAAGAAAGAAAAAAGGAAGAAAAGGAAGTACCAAGACCATGAAAGCGCTTAGATCAGATGGGGCCTGTATTACATCTTTCAGGATGAAGAAACTCTAGAGATAGAAAGGGAATGGGCTAGAGGAAAGGGGGAATGGAGGAGAGAATAACAGAAACAAACCCAAAGGCATAGAGCGCAGAATACTCCCAGCACATTGAACATAAGACACTCTCAGCAGCCTAAGAATGAGGACAGAAAAGTAGCTGAGAGCAAGTCTTGAGTGCCACTCTAAGGATCACGGGGGTTCAAGACAAGGAGTGTTGTAACCAGGGAGGGAGATGAGTTATAAACAGTTCTTCTGGAAGATACTGAAGAGATTGTTTAAAATGGAATGGAAAGCAATTAACATTACTTCAGTAACGTAGTCAAAGTAAGAGAAATGTTCTAATGAGGACAAGGCTCTTCAGAGTGCAGAGGCAGGAACACAGAAATCAGGAAACGGTCATGTTGAAAAGGAGTAGAAAGGAGGATGATCTAAAATAGGGACAGCAAATGAATCCATGCCACAGGCCAACTCTGAAAGGCACTCTGACCTCAACCACTGAAAAGATTTCTGAGGTCACATGATTTTGGTGGAAAAAGCACCGTATGTCCTTTGAAAGTAGCCACGGGATGGGAACAGAGGCAGTAAAGGATGCAGTGAAAGTTAACAGTGTCAACTGAAAGGATGCAGAATCACCAAGGAGACAGCCCCGGGGTATGCCTGAGGGAATTTTCTAGATTAATTTAACTGTAGTGGAAGACCTGCCTAAATGTGTGCTGGGGTTCCAGATTGAATTAGAAGAAGGAACCGAAGATTGAATTAGAAGAAGGAACCGAACTGATCACTCTCTCTGCTTCCTGACTGAGGATGGAATGTGACCAGCTGCCCTGCCGGGATGCCCAGCATTCCTCAAACTGTAAGTTAAAACACACTTTCCCTAAGTCGCTCTGGCCAAGGACTTTGTCACAGCACCAAGAACACAACTTGAAAACCTGTACTGTGCATCTGCTATACTTGTTTCAGGGTCCCCTCTGATGTCTAACCATAATAACCAAGAACATGTGTACCATGAACTTCCGGTGGACACATAGAAGTTTCACTTCAAGGCCCATAATGAGTTCCACTTTAACTATGCAAATTTGGGATCCCCCTGAAACACCCAAGAAGCGATGTTCAGAGGACTGTTCACATGAGCCTGCATCTCAAGAAAGCAAGACGGGGGGCTAGATTCCGTGGTGCTTAGGAGAAGAAGCAAGTGGAGAAATTTCCTCTGTCCGAGGAAAGCTGGGGCATGGAATGGAAGCTTCTGGAACTCCAAGGTGAAGGGCACGTCAGAGGAAAGGCCCACAGAGGACTGAGAAGAGGGAGAACACAGTGTCACGAGGGTCAGGGCAGGAAAGACCCGGGATAACCTCAAGGGCGACAGAGGGAACTTTTGGTTTCTGATTGCCTCTGCTACCCCAGAGTTGAATATTAGTATCAGAAGTAGCACAATGATTTAAGAAGACAGGGCTAAGAAGCGCTCATCAGTAGCTCGCACGTGTTCATGGAGGGAGAGGAGCCAGAACCAACACACGTGGAGGGTGTGACTTAGCAGTCGATGTAAGCAGTGGGTACAGCTTTCAGGAAACCTAATGAGACTATGAGAAGATGACAGGGAGACGCAAAGGTGAGAAGTCGCTGGTCCTTGTCACCCAGGAGGTAACTCTTCCTACTGAGCACCCTGAAGTCTCATCCTGTTGGTTTTCATTTGAGGTCAGGACTTCGTCATTTTAGGAAACAACAGGTCCATGGGCTTGATGGGAGGATGTGCCAGACAGCTCCTGGCCATGACTCGGTACTTCAGAACTTTGCAATTTCAGTCAAATGTCTAGCTTCCTCCCCCTACATTTTTCTTCTGCTTGGTCTTCTAAGTGATGGCAGACTGAATATAAGGGCTGAATATAATTGCTCTACATTGTTACAATAATTGCTTTCTTTCCTTGTGACAGAAACAAAGAAAGAGTTCTACGGATGCTAATTTCATCTGCCCCATACACTGTTATTTTGATATAAGAAGGTCTCAAGAGAAGTATGGCACTGTCTGTGCCTCACAAAGAAACCAAAAATAAAACCGGAATTAAACAAAAGAAAATGAACCTGTGACCAAGAACAAGCTGTTGGAAGTGCTTAGAGCAAAATGCAGCACGCACTTCATAAAGGGGCGCAGGCTATGAGTCACCAAGACTAATCCACAACTATTCTATTAATAATCAGCATCGATGCCGCAAGAATCTCAGGGCTGTGTTTGAAGTACAGTTGTTTTAAAGAAACATGTGTTGCCGCAGATGAGAACCAACTATTCAGAGAGGAAAAAAAAAAAGATTTGGTGGGTAATCAGAAATTAAGGGTTAGAAGCTAATAACTATGTTTGAAATTGTATTTGTTTTCAAAATCTAAACCGCTATTCACTCAACAACTGATTTGTGACAGTGTGCAGATAAACAGGGTCCTTGAAAAAAAGCTCTTCAGGAAAGGACTTTTGAGCTTTACATGCTGACTACGCCAGCAAAGACGTTCACTTACATTCTGAGAAGAGCCTTATAGAAGGGTCGCGTGAAGAAGGCATCCAATAAATACTGATGTATTAGTGCAAGACCGAGGATCCTCCCACTGAACCGGAACCTGTGAAGGAGACACATGAGGCAGCTGAACACCACTGAGCAGGGTCTTGAGGGCTGTGTTTACCTTAGAATGAATTTCAACTCTATGTTTGTCCAGGACTACGGGCCTACCAGCTCTATGAGAGATTCAAGGGCACTCTAGAGTATGTCTTCATTAGCCAGTGTTTACTTGCGGAGGAAATCTGTTCCTCTAACATTTAGGGACACCTTACCCTTACTCCATGTTAGCAATGTCACCCTGTATCACCCCGCATGTGACAGTATGAATTCCCCACAGCCTTTCAGTGAAACTTCCCCAAATCATCCCAAGAGATCCTGATAAAGACTAAGAAGGCTGAGAAAATGTCATCATCAGTTTGTGTGCATGGATATTAGTTGATTTCTCTCATGCAAACGAGGAGCAATGCCCTTGTGATGAAAAGCCCTTATGCAGATTGAGGAGGTTCCCATCCATCCCTGCCCTCTCTAGCCTCACTCCTGATGGTAAACACCATCACTCACACAGTATTCATACAGGCATTTGGGGGGCTTTCCTCATGAGACATTCTGTTCTCCAAAATGAAATGCTATTCTGAATCAACTTGGAAACTTTATTATTCAGATCTGTTTGGACTGGGGTTTCTGCCTGAGGTACACAATTGTTTTCTCCACCACACGTTTCCTGGTTTCCAGATCTTCAAAGCCTGATGCCTACAAGAGTACTGTGGCTCTGTAATTTTAGTCAGGAAGGCTTTTTGAGGTCAGTGGCCGGCAGCTTGGTCCCTCTCTATTTCCACTTACATTAGCACAGCTGTTAACAGCCAAAGTTAGGAGGCCGCCAAAGTTGTGACTAAACAAGAAGTTAACTTGAGGAGCAAGTCCCCAGAGTTAAAGCTTTTCACCATCAATAGCCACATGACTCCAAGAACCTTTCCCACTTAGGTTCTTTCTCTGTTACTATCAGCGGGGAGGGAGGGGAGAAGAAAGGACCGGGAACAAGCTAATAGGAGTTATGTAAATATTTAAAGTCTACAAATGCAGGGATTTGAAAAAGATGTAAGGACGTTTGGAAAGAGTGTAATTGGGGATTTCTCAGAATAAGTACCTCCAGATGGGAATCTTGAAATTGTTTGCCTTGGTTTAGTGTGATCAATTAAGCAAAAGGCAATCTCTGCTTTCCAGCGTTAAGTGACTGAAACATGCTGGTGTGTGAGTGGGTGCCGCACTGACTTCCTATTCCTGCACTTGAGATGCCTGCATTTCCTGCAGGGGACCCCCTATACACACACACACACACACACACACACACACACACACACACACACACACTCATGCATACGCACACGCACACGCACACACACTCATGCATACACACACACACACACTCATGCATACACACACGCACACGCACACACACTCATGCATACACACACACACACACGCACACACACACACTCATGCATACACACACGCACACACACTCATGCATACACACACACACACACACACAAACATGCACACTCACTCACTCGAGCATACACACACTCACTCTCACATGCATTCTCTCTGATAAATATGAACAGGCCTCAGCCAGGGCCCCGGCTGTTCCAGCTCCCCTCACCCAAAGCCAGATTTCCCCAGGCTGTTAGTGAAGCTGCTTGGCCTCTACCAGATGGACCCGGGCAGTGGTTCTTAACGTGTGGGTCACAACCCCTTTGGGGTTGCATATCAGAGATTTACATCATGAGTCATAAAAGTAGCAAAACTACAGTTATGAAGTAGCAAAGACATGATGTTATAGTTGGGGTCCCCACAGCATGAGGAACTGTGTTTAAGGGTCACAGCATTAGAGGGGTTGAGAACCACTGGACTTGGGTCTTGCTAAGAATTGAATCACCCGCTGGGCGGTGGTGGCACACGCCTTTAATCCCAGCACTTGAGAGGCAGAGGCAGGCGAATCTTTGTGAGTTCGAGGCTAGCCTGGGCTACAGAGCGAGATCCAGAAAAGGCGCAAAGCTACACAGAGAAACCCTGTCTCGAAAAGCCAAAAAAAAAAAAAAACCAAAAACCAAAAACCAAAAACCAAAAAACAAAGAATTGAATCACCCGTAACATTTCTCCAATGCAAAAGTTCTTGAATTAATTACGTTTTGACAACAAAAATAGAAATCCAAATGAGGTGTATGACTGATAATGTAATTTTTAACCAGGAGGGGAAAATGTTTAAAGAAATGTGGCTTCCTTTTTTTTTGGGGGGGGGTAAGGGAGGGGTACCACAGGGGAAGATAACTGTCACAGAAACGAAGTCCTTACCATTCATGGTGATTGTCTACAAAAGCAGACATAGGACTTATTTGTACTGTGTATGTGTCGTTGGCTGAATATTCAAATAAGCCATAATAGGGGTTAAAGAGTTCTCTGGATACCAGGAAGAAGAACTCTCTGGAAGGCCCACTGTAATCCAACCTGTAAAACAACAACAACAACAAAAATCCACATGAAGAATAATCAGCTTTTACTTTTTCTAGGTATTGGGTATATTTTCTTCTGTGTTTAACTTTCTAAAGAATACTTATTACAGTGATAGTCTACACATCAGGACTATCCAAACAGAAGTGAAAAAATCTTATCTCCGTATTCTGGACCCAAAATAACAAACTAGACACTTATACAGCTCATATCCAAAACTCCAGCTACCCATGAGACATGTAAATAATACTCAGTGCACTCGTGATTTATACAAACACACACAAATATACATTTCTTAAATGTCCAATGCCAGGTCACAGGGAAAGGTGTGTCATGGGAATGTTTCATTCACACAAAGGAAAGCAGTTACATCTACTTAAAGGAAATGCAGGCCTCAGAGATTTCTGGAAATTTTCTGAATGGGGGAAGAAAAAAAAGTCTCCTTAGGGAGATCAGAGGCCAAAAAAAGAAAAAAAAAAGGAATAAGAGGATACAGTGAAAGGTATAAATCATAAAACACCATGGAAAACTAGAGACAAGGGAAAAGAGGGTGCAGTATTCTCTCTAAGGAGGTCCTCGGGCGAGCTGGAGCTCTAGCCCCGACACACTGCCGAATCCACCTGACTTGCAATAGCTTCAGGGTCAGAGGGAAGTGGAATTAAAGATGGTGAAGGGTTTGAGAAATAACAAGTGGCCAACGATGCCCAAGTGGGATGGGCGTAATAAAGAGCAGTTTGAAACATAAGGCCACTTGAGATGCTAAATTGAAAATGAATACACTGTATCAGCCCTTCTATAAAAAGTACACACACAGACTCAACCATGGGAGTGAGGTGGGTAGCCAGAAACTCCAGAGTCTTTTGTTTGCTTTATCGTTCCCACCACCTCTACCTCTTCCAGATCTGCTATTTGGGTATTACTGCAGTGTGTGTGTGTGTGTGTGTGTGTGTGTGTGTGTGTGTGTGTAGTGTGTGTGTTTGTGTGTATGTGTGTAGTGTGTGTGTTTGTGTGTATGTGTGTAATGTGTGTGTATGTGTGTGTATTTGTGTGTGTGTAGTGTGTGTGTGTGTGTGTGTGTGTGTGTGTGGTGTGTGGTGTATATGCAGAGGCCAGACAACAAGTCTTCAGGTGACACCTATCTTTTTGAGACAGGCTCTCTTACTGGCCTGGAGCTCACCAAACAGGCTATGACAAGTGACCAGTGAACTTCAGGGATCCACCTGTCTCTGCACTCCCAGTAGTGCTAAACTTATAAGTGTGAGCTAACAGGCCTGGACCAATTTAAAAATGGTGAGTTCCTGTGGTGATATAGTGTGTACCCTAATAAACTTGCCTGAGGATCAGAGAACAGAGCCAGCCACTAGATTAGACATAGAGGCCAGACAGTGGTGGCATACACCTTAAATCCTGTCACTCAGGAGGCAGTCTAGAAGAGAAATAGAGCCAGGCGTGGTGGCACACACCTTTAATGCCAGCACTTGAGATCTCATGCCTTTGCTTGGGAAGCACACACGCCTTTAATCCCAAGAAGAGATGTCTGGGCAGAGAAAGGTATATAAGGCGTGAGGATACAGGAACTCACTCTCTTTAGGCTGAGGATTTCGTAGAGGTAAGAACTAGTAGCTGGCTGCTCTGCTTCGATCTTTCAGCTTTCACCCCAATATTGCTCCAGGTTTTTTATTAAAAGACCATCTAAGATTTGAACAAGTTCTGGGTATTGAACTCAAGCCCTCCTGTTACTTACTGAGGTATCTTTCCAGCCCCTTTAATCCTGTCTCACTCTATAGCCCTGGCTGGGCTGGAACTAACTATGTAGATCTCAAACTCCAAACTTGCAGAGATCCACCTACTTCTGCCTCTGAATCCTGGGAACAAAGGCATGCACTACCTCATCTGGCTTCCACTATTGTATTTTTTTTTTAATGAAAGTGGAATCATCTGGGCCGTTTCCAGTGATGGAATTTTATGACCTAGAAAATAATCCTGTTATAGGCAGAGGATGTGGAAAAATAAAAATGCAAACAAAATAAAAATGACCTTTTTATGTAGTGATAGTGTAACTGAATTCGCATACTGTGGACTTCAACAATTCACACATTAATTTCCCACTTTTGTTATATCTGACTATCGATACCATTATTACTTAATATCTATTTTCAATAAATCAACTTGGTTTTTTTTTCACTGCACACTGTCTTACCTAACACTTTTGAAATTTCCAAGTGCTAGTTCAACTTTTTTCTAATATACATTAAAAGAAACGTAAGTAGCACAGTTAAAGCTGTCCAGCACAGCATGGGTAAAGACTGCACGCTCCTCAATGCATACCCACAGGGCACCTGTGGGAGACCTACCGGGCAGAGAAGGGCAGGCACTTGTGACTCTAGGGGCCAGTCAGGCTATGACGACAGTGGCACGGTGGCCCTGTCATTATAACTGCTTATAGGGAAGTCAACTTGTGGCTCCAGGATAGGCCAGGAAGGCCATCCTCAGGCCTCTCTGAGGCCACTCAGAGGTACCTGGAAGCCCAGACTACCCCCATCATGCAGCCTTTTTGTGGCTTCCTCTTCCTCTCCTAGTTCTGGCTTTGGAGGCCAGCAGCAGCAGCAGCAGCCTTCCACTTGGACGGTCTTTGCACACAACCTTCCAACAAAGATTGAAATGCCAGGTCCAGTCTAAGCCTTCATCTAGGTCTTGAAGGGGAACGGTTTCCAACAAGCTACTCCTGGTAGGACTCCATCTTTGGATGCCTTGGTCTCTGGTATCTGCTCCTTCTCTACTCCTGAGCAGGTCACCTCCTTTAGCCTTTTCTCACTGCACAGGTGGGGATCCCCTCGTCTCCTGGAACTAACCCCAACCCTGAGGTGTAGTGAAGGAGCTAAGTAAGGCTGGACACTTTCCTTCGCTAAAGCGGGTTGAAGTTACCCCACCTCCTGGGGACGCCACTTCTTCTCATTGACCTGGACTGAGGAATTGCCGCCATCAGCCTGGCCTGTGGGCATGTCTAGGTGGTAGTTTCCCGGCTGTTAATGGATGTGGAAAGGCCAAGCCCACTGTAGACAATGGCACCTGTGGACAGGTGGTCCAGGTAGCATATGACAGCTGACTGGGAGATTTCAAGCAAGCTAGTCAGCAGCCTTCCTCTACGATTTCTGCTTCAATCTCCTGCCTAGAGTTTCCGCCCTGGCCTCCTTGGATGACAGACCATAATTTATAGGATGAAATAAACCATTTCCTCCCCAAGTTACTTTTGATCATGGTGTTTATCACAGCCACAGAGATAAAGCTAGGACACCAATTGTCCAAGACATCACAGGAGTAATTTTGTTAAATCACCTCATTTTTTTTCTAGAGAAGACTGAGGCCAGGTCTTGAACCCTAAACAAGTGTCCTTATGTCATTTTACGGTTATCCGATATGTCCTGCCCTTCCGTAAATTTTAACTGTCCATCGAGATGAAAACAACATTGCTTATAGAACAGGGCTTGGCAAACGCTGTCCTGAGGGCAAACCTGCCCAAGTCCAGGACATGTAAATAAAGCCGTACTGAAGTGCACCAGGCTGGCTTCTGTGTGGCCTGTGGCCGTGTCCAGATAAAATGCTCAGGTGTGTACGTGCCACAGAGAGTGTACGCTGGGCAGAGTCCAAAGGTGTTTACTATCCGTCTCTGTATAGAAAAGCTTTGCCAACTGTTGTTACACAAACAGGGAGGAGGGAAATGCTTTCTTAAAACATCTGGCTTGCTATGCATCTTTAGTGAGACTCCTCCAAGGGGCCATAAACACTCTCTGACTTTGCTGTGGTCGCTCCTCTGCGGGGCTTTTCACTTTGCAGAGGCCCACAGGATCCCAGGGCCACAGGGAGCTGAAATAACAGGCAAACCAAGAAAGGGAGCCTGCGGGGTGGTCCCTAAGATTTCACTTCGAATATTTCAATAATACTGCACTTACCAGAGCATATTCGAAGGACCCATGTGTATTTGCCTCCCCCGTACATAAATTCAGATTCTGACCACACTGAGAGCAGGTGATTTTGTCATACTCCTTGTGCTGGGTAGTTTGACGTCAACTTGACGCAAGCTAAAGGCATCTGAGAGGAGGCAACCTCAATTAAGAAAATGCTTCCACAAGATCAGGCTGTAGGCAAGCCTGTAGGGCATGTTCCTAATTAGTGATTGATAGGGGAGGGCCCAGCCCATTGTGGGTGGTGCCAGCTCTGGGCTGGTGGTTCTTGAGTTCTTCAAGAAAGCAGGCTGAGCAAGCCAGTAAGCAGCACCCCTCTATGGCCTCTGCATCAGCTCCTGCCTCCAGGTTCCTGCTCTGCTTGGGTTCCTGTCTTGATTTCTGTGGTGATGAACTGTGATGTGGAATCGTAAGCCGGATAAACCTTTTCCTCCTCAACTTGCTTTTTGGCCATGGTGTTTCATCACAGCAATAGAAACCCTAAATAAGACACTCCTTTTTGCAGAATGATATTCAGTAGGCGCTAAATACACAGAGCTCCCTGATGCTCTCTAAAGAAAATTAGCATCACTTGTATTGTTATTTGGCATTTGGCTGTGTGAATGAATGTGAGCCAGTTTACTCTGGGGTGGTGGTACACTAATTCAGTGCCAGGAGCAAACTGTGCTAACCCCTAAGAAATGACTCAGTCTGAAACTACTGTCACACAAGTGAGTTGGCTTAGAAAGTTCACAGTGTAATATCTTCTAACGTGGTCAAGTTTGCTAAGACAACAATGGCCTTACTGATCCGTTCCTTTTGTGGCTGACGACAAACATATCTTCTCTGAGGAGTTAAGCTGGAAAGCAAAACTCACCTCAGAAGAGAAGAAAACAAACAGCTCCTTTAGAAGGAAATGTACGTTTAACTGGGAAACATTTTATCTTCCTTTTTTTTTTCAACTCTTGAAACACGAATAGAGTCACTCCAAAGCCAAGCTAGTCATTCTCCTTTAATTTGGTTTTAACTCCAAATGCAGAACTGCATATTTAGGAG